TGAAGAGAGGTTCCGGGAGACATGATGCCAGTAATACAAAAGCTTTCAGAAAATAAGGGAGGAGTAAAACACTTGCTAACTGAATTTATGAGAGCACTGGTTGGTTCCCAGGTGGCTCGGGGGTAGAGAATCCCCCTTCGATGTAGGACACGCAGGTCCGATCCCCGGGTGGGGAGGATTCCCTGGAGGAGGAAATAGCAACCCCTCCAGTATTCTTGCCTGGGAAATCCCATAGACGGAGGAGCCTGGTGGCCACAGTCTATGTGGTCACAAAGAGTCAGACAAGACTGAGTGACTAAACAACAAGTCTCTTATGAATAGATGCAAATGTCCTCAGCAAAATACTAGCAAACTGAATCTAGCAGCGTTGAGAAAAAATGATATACCACAAGAGATTCATTTCAAAAATGCAGGGTTGATTTAACATATGGAAATCAATTATGTAATACAACGTATCGATAGAATAAAGGAAAAAACTGCATGATAATCTCAGTACAGTAGATTCAGGGAAAGCATTTTGCAAAATCCAACACATCGCGTGATCAAAAATCCAACATATTGTGTGATCAAAATCCAACACATTGCGTGATCAAAAATCCTACAACTAGGAATAGAAGTTATTATCTTCAACCTGATAGAAGGCATCCGTGAAACATCTAACCATATATATAAAGGTGAAAGAGCGGATGCTTTCTTCCGAAGATGAGGAAGAACACAAGGCTATCTACTCTTATACTTCTGTTGACGAGGTTCTAGCCTCTAGTCAATTAGACAGGAAAAAGAAATAAAAGGCATCCAGATTGAAAAGGGAGAAGTAAAACTGTCTTTATTTGCAGATAACATGTTCTTGTATATAGAAAATCCTAAGGAATTTACACACACAAAACTATAACAATTGATTTCAACAAGTTTATAGGATACAAAGTCAGTATACAAAAATCACTTTTATTTGTATCCACTAACAATGAGCAATCTGAAAATGAAATTAAAATATGATTCCAGTTATAATAGCATCAAAAAAGATTAAAATAATAAAAAGAAGTTCAAACATTATACTCTGAAAACTATAAATTACTGTTGAAAGAAATGAAAAAAAAAAAAAACCTAAATAAATGGAAAGGCAGCCTATGTTCATGGAACAAAAGACTTAATTTGTTACAATAACAGTACTCTCCAAATTTATCTACAAATTTAATGGAATCCCCATCAAAATCTCAGTTGCCTTTTTTTTTTGCAGAAATTGATAAGCTGACTCATAAATTAATATGGAAATGGAAAGGACCAGAAAAGCCAAAACACTCTTGAAAAAGAACGAAGTTGAGGGACTTATACTTCCTAGTCTCTAAACTTTCTACAAAGTCACAGTAGTTGAGACAGTGCATACAATTACTATTCCTGAAAAATAAAATGGAAAAAAAATAGAAAAAAATACAATTATATGATCAAAGAGAAATTCTTGAACTCAAAAAAGTAAGACTTTATTGAGCACTTGCTATATACTGTGCTAAGTGTTCTATCCATTTATTATTCCATTTAGTCCATAGGACTACACTGAGTGAGGAATTCTGTCGCCATCTCCATTTTTTCCAACGAGGAGACTGAAGTTTAGAGTCTGTGCCTCGCCATGGTGGTGGAGCTGGGCTTTGAGCTCAGAATGGCAGCCCGACTCCGGTGCCCGGCTTGATACTGCAGATCTGAATTCGCAGACTGAGAGCTCATGCTGTGTTCCAAGAAGAGCAGTGGCTGGCGAGACAGCTTTCTAGGCTTCAGGGAGAAAAGGACTCTCTCTGCAGATTGTCTGCAGGGAGAACGGCAAGGCTGGCTTCCAAGTTGTCCACAGCAACTTTCCGCATTGGTGACTGGAGTATCGTCTATCATATTCTGAGGAAGAGAAAGTGTGAAATCCAAGAATGTTGTAGTCAGGTTTAGAGAGACAGAGACAAGAGAGAGATATTCTTGAACATGGAAGAATTTAGGACTTGTAGCATCCACGAGGCCTTTTTGGCAGTATTCCACCAAGCAGGAATTGATTTAAAATAGAGGATTAAAGAAACAGTGAATGCATTTTATTGGTTGACTGATTGAGGTATAGTTGATGTACAATACTATATACATTTTAGGTGTACAGTATAGTGATTCACAATTTTAAAGGTTATATCCCATTGTAATTGTTATAATCTCATTTATAGTATTTATAATTATAGTATTATAAATATTATAAAACATTGGCTATATTCCCTGTGTTGTACTATATCCTTGGAGGTTATTTACTTTATACATGCTGGTTTGTACCTCTTAATCCATACCTGTATCTGACCCCTCAGATGCATTTTAATATAGAACTGATGAAAAACAATTATGGGGTTGGACATAGTTGCTAGGAATTTTGGCAATGTGAAATAGTACTATAACAAAACAGGAGGCTGAGGGGAAATCACTGGAGAAGGTGGTAGGGATATGTCAGTCTCCTTATTGCTATCATGGGTCAGCAGATCCTGCGTGGAGCTGAAGTATGTGATTAAAACAGTGAGTCATACACCCGAGGCAGAGCCGACTTATTGGAAAGACCCGAAGCCGGGAAAGACTGATGGCCAAAGAAGGGGGCGGCGGAAGATGAGATGATGGGGTGGTTTCACTGACTCAGTGGACATGAATTTGAGCAAACTCCTGGAGACAGTGGAGGACCGAGGAGCCTGGCAGCTGCAGTCCGTGGGGTCACAAAGAGCGGGACATGACTTACTGACTGAACAGCAACAGCAGAATGGGCTTCCCTGTGGGCCAGGGGCTGACTCCCGTGCTCTCAATGCAGGGCGCCCGGGCGCGAACCCCAGGGACCAGATCCCACCCCCACAGCTGCATATTCCACACGCCACAGTGAAGATCGAAGGCAGCAACAACAGAATCGACTTCCCTGGTGGGCCAGGGGCTGACTCCCGTGCTCTCGATGCAGGGCGCCCGGGCGCGAACCCCGGGGGACCAGATCCCACCCCCACAGCTGAGTATTCCACATGCCACAGTGAAGATCGAAGGCTTAGTGCCTCAACCAAGACCCAGCACAACCAAGTAAATAAACATCAACAAAAAGAAAGGACCCGATCTCTGTCTCTCTTCTCTGTCTCTTTCCTTGTCTCTCTGTCTCTCTGTCTTTCTGTCTGTATACACACGTAACACATGCATGCAGGTGCGTATTACACACATGCATACATATGATAAATATCAGGTGTATTTTTAATTTTAGAGAGACTGTGAACTTTGTGTTAAAAAACACATTTTTCTGAAATTGAGTGCTTACTTTGGTTACACTTTTGTTTCTCCTGTTAAATTTAACTAAAATTAAATGTAATGGTTTAAATTTAAAGCCAGCACATATCACAGTCCCAGTGTTTGTAAAATGATTTTTATCTTTCTCTCCTCTTGGTACTTATGTAGGCAGAGGTATGGGTTATTGTTCAGTCAGTGTTCACTGGTTATTTCTATGTGGTAGAATTTGGTGATGCTTTTTGTATTTTTTTTTTTTTGTATGGTACTGCTTTGTTTTTGCTTTAAAATAATCTTGGAGCTTTTAAACATTGAAAGCTATTCTTCAAAAACAAGTGAAAGATAATTTTTTCAACAGTTTCAGCGTTGGACTTCCACGTGAAAATGTCAAGGAAGTAGTTAGACGTGAGTCTGGGATAGGTCTGGATTAGAGACGATCAAGTTGGGAGGTGGCAGCTTGGAGGTGATTTCTGAGGAACAGGTGAGGTCATCTTGGGAGACTTCAGAGGGAAGGACGGGGGCTCAGAGGGGCACTCTGCCTCTCCACGCTTAGAGGGCGGCTGGGGGAGGAGCCGCAGCGGGGCCGGAAATGACGGTGCCCAGAGGTAGGAGGAACACCTACCTCTTAGCACGTGCAGAGCCAAGCGCTGAGTCAGGAAGGAGCCAGGCACTTCTGATAAGATGCTGGGATGCGGTTCAGATGCGAGGGTGGCCCACTTGGATGTCACCCTACAGCATGCTGGTCATCGTCTGTGTCCTCTGCTCCCCCCGCCCCACCCCAGGGCTCACAGGGCGGAGACCCAGCAGTTGCTTTAGCTCCCCTGGAAGGACCATTTCAAGACCTCGAGAATATTGGGGGTTTGGCTAACAGCTGGGTTTTTGGAGAGCTGCTGACTTGCTCGATGTCGGCAGCATGTTTGGAGAGCATCTGTGTGGTTTCTAAATGGGCCACAAGTAGCTTCTGGTTGATAAATGCTTTATTCGACTCATGAGTTTAAAGAGGGTAACCTCTGTAACAGTAGATATGTGTTTGCACTTCATTATGTCCCACTCTACTTGCAAGTCTTTCCCTTGATTAGCTGGCAGTCTTTCTGGCAGGGCTAAAGACGCCAACCTTTAAAACCTCGTTATCTGTTGACAGGCGGTCAGGTTTGGGGAGAGAGGGAGCTGAGGTCGTTTTTCTTAAGCTCTCTGTCCTTGAGAGTAGCTGACTGCCGCCCAGACCGCCGCAGCCCTGGAGCCTGGCAGATTCGCTGTCCGGTTAGTTCTCGGGCCCTTCCGCTCTCTCTGAAGCGCCGCAGAGCCTGCAGGGCCGGAGCCGCGGGCTGCCGTGACCTCAGCCATCGGTGGGGACGGCCGTTTCCGCGCGGGCTGCCGTGACCTCAGCCCTTGGTGGGGACGGCCGTTTCCGCCCGTTGTGGGCCTGCTTCTTTGCCGCGGAGCCTCTCTGTCAGCATCTCGGCCTTGCAGCGCCGTCCCCGCCGAGGCTCCTGCTGGCACCCTGTGCCCATCCACGCCCGCCAGTGCTCAGGCCTCGTGCCAGGCGGAGCACGCCTGCCAGGGAGCAAGCAGCTGCCCCCCGTCGCACGGACGCCGCTCTGCGCCGTTCTCCTCCCCTCCCAGTGCCGCGCACTAGCGCGTGTTTCACTGTTTCAAGCCCAGCTCTGTGTTTGCAGGTAGGGTTTGAAGGAAGTAGGCTTGCATGTGGATCTGATTAGTTTTCCAATTTTCTCCCCTTCCAGGTAATACTTTCTAATATTCAGAACAGAAGTCCCAAGCCTGGCCCTGCTCCCCACGATCAAGAACTAGGTTTTTTCCTAGAAACGGGACTGCAGAGAGCCCATGTCCTCTATTTCAAAAATGGGTAAGCTGTCTTCTCTTTTTAAATCAAGTTCCTAAAGAAGGAAAGCAGAAAGCCTTACCATGCTGTGTTCAGTTTAGTTATTATCCTGGAGCAGTTTGAAATATACACCACAACTGGAATTTCTTGAAGAAAGAGTGAGCTCTTTGTTTCTTTTCCACCTGGCTCATCATTTGCCTGGGAGATTCGAAGGAGGGAGACGGGCGTGTGCATGCGAGTCTCAGTCCGGAGCCCCAGGGCCAGGGGACGGCTGGGGGCCCAGACCCGTGCCCTCCCGCCCCTGTGGGGACCATGCTGCCTTCCTGCCCCCGTGGGGTGCTGCCCAGGCCTCCCTGCTTTGCCGCGGGACACGTTAGTGAGTCGGCAACCCCGGCCCACAGGATCGTCTCCTGAATGGCTGGTCCCTTTAGAGAACTGTATTGCCAGGTATCAGACAGTTTTTGTGAAAGTCCCTGTGGCTGGAGTGCCATGCAAGTGGTTTCTCTGTGAGCTGCCTCTGAAAGGGGATTTTAGAAGGTTCAAGAGCCTGAATGTAGTAACAGACGCTGGTGCATTTGCCGTTTGCCGTCCTTCCGTGTTGCTCTCATGAGGAATACGACAGTGCTGTTCAGACCTCTCAGCTGTCCCTTGTTTTGACCTTCTGCTTCCGGATAGGTGTCCGTGGAGACCGACGCTGGGTGTCTGACTCCCCCGTAGCTCCTCTGAGGCCGCGCAGGGGGCCTCTTCCTCTAGGAATGGTCCAGTGAAGCTTCGAGCTACAGACGGGGTATTGGAAATGTGGAGCTGCCCCCTCTTCATTTTCAAGAGCCTCAAACTTTGAGGCATAGCTCACGGAAGTGGGATTTCATTTCTGCTTGGGGGCCCAGAGCCACATGCTTCCGTTTCCCTCTCACTGGGGAGCTAAGTGCTTATTTTCCAAATCCTGTTAAACCGTTTGTGGAGCAGGCCTGCTTCGCTCCAAAGGTTCGGATTGGCAGGGCCCACAAAAGGCTGCAGTAAACGCCTCAAGGTTTGGAATGGCTTGGTGGCTTTGGCTTAGAGATGCTTTTGAGTTTGATTTCATCTGTCTCTGACAGATCATCTGAGTGATGGTGGCTGAGTTTTGAGTTCTACTTTCCTTGCTGTTATAAATAGAGGGAGAAGGGACAGAACATGGGAATATCTTCCTAGTGATCTTTTTGCTCCCTTTTCACGATCAACCGTAGTCATCACGGAGGATGCTCCAGCCTGGCTTTCCCTCTAACTGTGAGTGTGTGTGATTGACGGACAAGCCCAGGGGCTGGAATGAACTTCCCTGGGGCTTTCAGAAACCCCCAGTCAGCAGCTTCTGTTGGAAATGCTTTGTGTGAGATTGATGAGGGTGGACCAGCCAGCTTAGTTCCCTATCTGAAGCCTGCGCATCAAGGAGGAAGAAGCAGGGCCGTTGGGCTCAGCTCTCTTTTCCTGGACCTCTGGGTGCCCCCAGCACTGAACAGGAAAATAATGACGAGAAGTTTGCCGAAGGTGACGGATTACGCGCTGTAACTGCTCCCTGCTCAAGCCTCATTTCATCTCACCCGAGTCAAGGCGATTCCCATTGGCATAGTCAGAGTTGGGGCACTGCTCCACTTTGAAGCCCTGTTCCCTCTTTGCTTGTCCTTTTGCTCGTCTCCCTGGGCTTTAAGGAGCAGTAACGCCCTGAGCCAGTGGCTGGGAGGCCTCACCAGCTCCTCAAGGCAGCAGTGACGAGAGCTGACGGGGGTGGGTGGAGGCGGAGGCCAGTTTTGAGACCACAAGATCCGGGGGAAGAAGAGACCAGTAGGAGGTTCTGGGCATGCCACGTGTCATCGGCTGCGTACCTGGTGGTCCCTCAGAGCCCGAGGGCCACACCTGGGGGGCATCTGACAGCGACCGCCCACCCCCGGCGTCTGCAGGGCACGTGGGGACAGATGGGCCGGCTGCCATCCCTGAGCCCCGGGGGCTTCCTGTCCTGCGATGTGTTTGCTGCTTCAATGTCTCACTCCTTTTTGTGTTTCTACATTTGAAAAATATGTATCTGGGAGGATATAATGGAAAGAATTTGACTGATTTTTCAAGCATAGGAAGATGCATCATAGGTGAGTTTAGCAATAAGATACACAATTGATAAAGCGTATCCTTTTCTTTAGAAATATGCTTAAATATATTCAGCTTTTTCATTGCCAAGCCGGTGACCTCGGGGCTCTCTCAGAAAGACCCTGGCCCTGGGACCAGTTCCTGGGCCCCTCCTGATGCCTTGGGTCTCTTTCCTCTTTGCCAAGTACTCCCACCTGGTCACTGATCCTCAGGGCGTTACCTCGGCCACGTCCACCTGTGCCCGGCAGTGTTGCCTGTGTTTCACACGCTTGGCTTCTGCGCTTCTGACCTCAGTCCTCTTGGCTCTGCCCTGCTGCAGGGGAGATGCTGTGCGCTGGGCTTCGGTCTGACCCTCAAACTGTGGCCTCATCCACCGTCCAGCCTGGCTTGTGAAGAAGCACTTGACCCCAGGATGAGGCATGCCTGGGGGTGGCTCCCAGCTTCCACTGTGGTGTTTTCTCATCCCACTTACATACATCATGTGAAATGCACCCCTTGGAGGGAGACAGCACCTGCTCTCACCCGGCCCATGTATCCTGGGTGTGGTCTGACTTGGCACACACCCATGTGGATCTCACCTCCGTTTTTCTCATCCCTCTGGGTGGCAGCAGCAGGCCTGTTAAGGCTGAAAAAACATCTTGCTGAGGCTTTGCTGCTGAAGGCAGGAGGAGAAGGGGACGGCAGAGGATGAGATGGTTGGATGGCATCACCAACTCAACGGACATGAGTTTGACAGACTCTGGGAGAAGGTCAGGGCAGCCTGGTGAGCTGCAGAGAGGGGTTGCAAAGAGTCGGACTTGACTGAATGACTGAACGACACCATCACACTTCTCGTCTGCCAGATCCTCTGCCCCCCCTCACCCGCCCCTTCCTCTCTCCCCTCCTTCCCTTCTCTTTTCTTCCTCACCCCTCCCCTCCTCACTCCCCTTTCTCTCTGGTCCCCTTGGAGGGAGACAGCACCTGCTCTCACCCGGCCCATGTATCCTGGGTGTGGTCTGACTTGGCACACACCCATGTGGATCTCACCTCCGTTTTTCTCATCCCTCTGGGTGGCAGCAGCAGGCCTGTTAAGGCTGAAAAAACATCTTGCTGAGGCTTTGCTGCTGAAGGCAGGAGGAGAAGGGGACGGCAGAGGATGAGATGGTTGGATGGCATCACTGACTCAATGGACATGAGTTTGGGCAAGCTCTGGGAGTTCGTGATGGACAGGGAGGCCTGGCGTGCTGCAGTCCATGGGGTCGCAAAGAGTCGGACACCACTGAGCGACTGGAGTGAACTGGAACTGACGCTTTGCAGAGGTGAAGTCAGAGTGCGTTGGCCTCAGAGGGCCAGGGCTGCTGCTCTGAAATCCTCAGATTGCCTTGCCCAGGGCAGGCCCCCGGATGGGGAGCCGCGTGGGTGCTGGAGCCAGAGGACCTGATGAGGAGCCAGCGCTCCTCCCAGCCGAGTGTCGGTTTCGTTATCTGTGTGTGTGCTAAGTCTCTTCAGTCGTGTCTGACTCTGTGACCCCGTGCGCTGCAGCCCACCAGGCTCCTCTGTCGGTGGGATTCTCCAGGCAAGAATACTGGAGTGGTTGCCATGCCCTCCTCCAGGGGACCTTCCCGACCCAGGGATCAAACCTGCGGCTTTTATGTCTCCTGCATTTGGCAGGCGGGCTCTTTGCCGCTAGTTCCCGCGGGAAGCCCTCCTTTATCGGCCAACACACCCGAGAGCTGCGGTGAGCTGCAACCGAGAGAACACGTGTGGGAGCACTTGGTGCCGCGTCGGGCGGGCGGCCAGCGGTGAACCGGAATTTCCGCTGATGATGATGCCTGGCTGGCTTTCCAGCTGGAAGCGGGACCACAGGCAGGTCAGACTCCAATTCCTGAAGCAGGCGTCGTTCACTTGATTGCAGAGCCTCATGCAGCCGAGTTCTCAAGGAAGGGTGTTTGTTTATGACCGCTGGTGCGTGTGGTCTCTGCCCGAGAAGCATCGCGATTAGCCTGGATAACCCCCCAATAACCGAGGGCCACAGCTGTGTCTCAGAGAAAGGAGGAGGGGCTGACCATTCTGGGCAGAGGAGCGGCCTGGGGCTCCCCCAGCTTTCTAGGGGAGGAGTGTTACCCCTCCCCCACGGCTTGAGTCCTTGACGCCAGAATTGCCAGAGCAGCTTGAGTTGGGATGCTGTTTATTTGCTCCACGTTGATTTAGGAATATTCAACCATGTCCTGGCCTTCCCAGGTGGCTCAGCGGCAAGGAACTCACCTGCGAATGCAGGAGATGCAGGTTCGATCCCTGGGCCGGGAAGATCCCCTGGAGGAGGGCAGAGCAACCCGCTCCAGTGTCCTTGCCTGGAGAGTCCCAGGGAGGAGGGGCCTGGCGGGCCCCAGTCCGTGGGGTTGCAGAGTCAGACCGAGCAGCAACAACAAATCACGCCTTGTGAACAGAGCGGCAAAGGGGCGCGCTCTGGCGTTTCTTCCTGTCTGCCGTGTCAGCTGTACTGGGTAAGCCAAATGGGCTGTATGTAGTGTGTGTTCTCCCTGCTTCTGAATTGGTTTTAATTCAGGGAAAGTGAGAGTGAAAGTTGCTCAGTCGTGTCCGACTCTTTGGGACCCCATGGACTGTAGCCCACTGGGCTCCTCTGTCCACGGGATTCTCCAGGCTAGAATACTGGAGCGGGTTGCCATGCCCTTCTCCAGGGGACCTTCCCCACGCAGGGATTGAACCCGGGTCTCCTGCATTGCAGGGAGATTCTTCACCATCTGATCCACCAGGGCAGCACGGGGAGGGTGAGGGTGGGGGTAAATTAACGCGAGAAGACCCATGAGCATCCGAGCTGGGAGGTGCGCCCGCTGGGTTGTACTCCTTCCTGGGTCGCATCAGGACTTCTGTGTGGGAGGCCGTGACTTGGAGCGCGTAGGAGGGCAGGC